GAGAAGAGGACAACAAACGAGGGGCTGTGACAAACTGTTTCGTCGGAGTTTCACCGACTCATCAGGAGGCTGAAATATATATATATATATATCGTCACAAACAGATATATATATATATATATATCGTCAAAATATATATATATATATCGTTATATATATATATATATATATATATCGTCACAAACATATATAGTTAGATATCTGTCTGTGTCTCTGTCTCTGCGTCTTTTTCTGTGGGGCCTCTCTCAACGCTGGTTAGTGGGGTGCTTTTGACTTACCTATGAATTTCTGAAACTTGCTAAAGGAATATATAGAACTTTATAGAATTATAAAATATAAGCAAGCTGCCACTGCTTATCACCCACCGAGGGTGGGACCAAAAGAAGCTAAGTTAGAGAATCTACGCTTGCTGAAAAAAAGCCTGAATCCTAGTAAACACAGGAGAATCAAACGGCAGGGAAAAAAAAAAAAAAAAAAAAAAAAAAAAAAAAAAAAAAACCTAGAAAAAAAGACAAAAAAAAAAAGACAAAAAAAAAAAAAAAAAAAAAAAAAAAAAAAAAAAAAAAAAAACCCGGAGGAGATAGGGTTTAAACTTTAAAACTTTAAGTAGATTAGGGGGAGGCAATGGGAGACGAGAACACAAATGGCCGAGAAATGCTTAACAGAAAAACAAAGAACAACAACAACAACAACAGATAATAGTTTAGAACTTTCGATAAAAAAATGAATGAATCATCACCTCAATACGGTCCAGGAGCGCAGGGCTGGCCCGGCCTGTTCTCACAGAGTTGAAGTTGCCACGGAGCGAATCCAGAGCCTTGTCCATTCTTTCCATCTGAAAAATGAGAAACTCACACAACAGGACAAAAACAAATAGAAAGTAGCAGCCACCGCGAGTTCTGTCAGAACTACCTTGTTTTTCTTTTTTTTAAGGCAACATAAAATTAAATTAAAAAAAAAAAAAACAGACCCCGTTATCCGCACAACAAACCCTCTGTTATGCGCTCCACAGTTTTTGTTTTTTTTTTAATAACTTAACGACACATCGCTGAGACCATTAATTACGCACCTTCAGTTATCCGCACAACAATTAATGGTCTCTGGAAATGTAAGAAAACCACAGATGAGGTATTTAAAAAAAAAAAAAAAAAAAAAAACCCTTTAAAAATGCCAAGAGTGTGTTCATTGTTGGTCAGGTTCACACGTACGGAACGTATGACACTGATCTTGTTGTGTCCCTTGTTGCAGAAAAATGTCACAAAAGGAGAGCCGCGCGTAAACATGCCCTAACGAAGCGGCAACAGCGGCGGTGGCGGCGCCCGGTCGTCGGCGGCGGCTGAGTAGGACGCAACGGCGGGGCATGTAGACGCTGATCCTTTCCACGAGGCGCCTACCCTGCCAGGCACCATAGCTGTGTGAGAGCTATGGCGACAGTGCCCTGGCGTAGCCTAGCCCTTGAGTGGGTAGAGAGTGCCTCGCACTCTTACTCCAAGGCATCCTGGCAGCTCCGCGTCTGACCTCCATACCAACCATCATACCTGACGGGATCTCGACACCAGAGGAGTCGTCCTCCCCTCAAGCCTTTTGCTGGAAAGGAGGGCCTCCTTTCTCACCATCTAAAGGCCGCTGGACTTTCATGATGCACCATCTCGACTGCCTCAGTCAATAGGAGAAGCTTGGAAGACGAAGCGGCGCATCTGGACGCAGTGGGAGAGCGGCGGCTGCGGCGGCAGCGCTTCGGCATGTCCAAGGTCTTCAGTTCTACACATCTTGTTTGCACGTAGGCATAGTTTAGGTTAGCCTCGGTAATCCAGCAGGTCATTTGTTCGCACATCGAGTCGAGTGATTGCCTCAATGCCGAGGCAGTCGATTGAAACTGCCTGTCTGTCCCCTTACATCCTGTGTGCATTTACTTCATGTTCCGTTTGCAATCTCTTCCTTTTCTTACCCAATTCGATTCCTTCTATGGGCTTAATTTCGATCTCGTCTCTTTTGCTTGTATTTTAGGGTAGGAGTTTCCTAGTATAAGTCATTATTGTCTTAAAATTTTGGCTCTCATTGAACCTGGGTGTATATGTGGCCATATTCCGTCAAAAAGTCGAGAACATACTCTCCCTTTTTTAGCTGTTTTCTAGGCTAGTCTGCCGTAGTTTAGTGTATTGCATTTCTTTGATCGCTTAGCTGTCTCTTGATCCCCTTGAGAAGTATAATTCTTACTGTCTCTGTTCTGGCACCGAGGCTTCTCTTAGTGTTTCGTTTTTAGAAACACGTTTTGTGGAAGTATCTTAGGATTGAGAGAGAGGGGGAATTGTTATCCGCGATGCGTGGGTGTAAATTTGGGATTTCTCCTCCTTGTCTGTTTTAGGTGTTTTTGCCTTTCGATAAGTTTCTTTGTAGTCATTATAAGAGTAGTTAGCACGAAGGAGCAGTGGGAGCACCAATGGTTGGAGGATATGAGAGACCCGGTGAAGAGCAAACTAGAGTTGTATCCATTGGGTGCGTGGTGGGAAACCCGTCTTGGCAACAAAGGCTCTTTACAGCGTTCTGGACAGTGATGATGAGAGGCTATCCCTACAGCTTTTCTTCTACCGACAGCGGCACTACGGGGGCAGTGTGAGTGCCATCGTCAGTGGTGGGAGCATTAGTCGCTTTTAGGTATTATACGAGTAGTTAGTACGAAGGAGCAGTGCGAACACCAATGGTTGGACGAAATGAGAGACCCGGTGAAGAGCAAACTAGAGTTGTATCCATTGGGTGCGTGGTGGGAAACCCGTCTAGGCAACAAAGACTCTTTACAGTGTGCCATTCGTGTTTCTATCTTAGAAACATGCTGGTGTCTTCCTGCGCAGCAAGGATATTATACTGCGATAGATTTACTCTGCAATTTTTTTCACTTTTGGAGATTCCTTTAAGGGACACTGGACTCGGTTTCCAGAAGCCTAATGCTGAGTATTGGCCTCAGCAGGTTTGTACGGGGTTGACATGTAGGAGTGTGTGTGTTCCCGGGCCCCAGTGGTCTCATTTCGAATGAAAAGTGCTATGTTTCACCAAAAAAAGTAATAATAATAATAATAATAATAATAATAATAATAATAATAATAACAACAACAATAATAATAATAAATTATTATCAAATTATCAATTAATATCAAGGTCTTTTTTTGGGATTTTTCCCGCTGGACCAGGTTCAGCTCGGCTTCCAGTCACCGTCAGTTTAGGTCCAGGGACCAAGGCCCACTAGCAACGTTGAGTTTTCTCAACGCCCGAATCTGATCGTCTTTGTGGAGATGTGCAGAAATTGCGTTGAGTTTCCTCAACCGCACATCACCACAAACACGTCCAGATTCAGGCGTTGAGGAAACTCAACGCTGCTTGTGCGACTTGGCCCCAGGTTCGGGTCCAATTTAATTCACGTTCCGGGATCAAATATAGTCAGTTTAGATCCAGGCCAGGTTCTTTGCATTTGGCTTTTTTCGCTTTTCCTTTGGGTCCAGTGAGTTTCATTTTACTCTTCGTGGACGGGTCGAATGTGGTTCAGATTCAGGTCAGATTCAATTGACGGTCGGGTTAACAATGAATCCCGCTCTGCACTTGGCGGACATAATGGCTCAGATTCATTCAGGTTTAGGGTGACATTCAGTACTAGTTCAAGTCAGCTTTGATTTACGTCCGGGTCAAACTTGACCAGGGTCAGAGCTAAGCTTCGGTTCCATTTTATTTTTTTTTTTTTTTTTTTTTCGGTTCCGATTTTTTGGATCCAGTCTGGGCTCAATGATGAATCTCGTTTGGCTTTGCCGGGGAGGTACCCTTCCCCCCACCTCACCCCCCTTCCATCAAATTCCGACCAGATTCAGTTCAGGTTCGTCTAACGTCCGGCTCAGGCTTGGGCGAGGTTCGCCAGCCTGTCGCATACCAAACCCAAAGAACGTGGCCTTGATCTTAGGTCTTAGGGGACCTACCGTATCGGTTTCCACAAGCTCCTTCTCTGCCTCCACCTCCTCCGTGGTCGCCATTGACCTCACATCGAGACGCCTGCACGTGTCCCATTTGCAAGACGACAAACGACACCAAGTCCTTAATTAGTACATTCAAGCCAAGTTCTCATTAAATTATACATAAATAAATCAATATATACATATATCGTCTCTGTAGGCAGATAGGGAGAAGAGGACAACAAACGAGGGACTGTGACAAACTGTTTCGTCGGAGTTTCACCGACTCATCAATCAGTAGAGGCTGAACCCTCAAAAACAGTCTGCAGAATCCCCTAACTGATTACACTGTAAGTGATAATCCACCTTTACCCCGCCTGTGGCTAAGCATCACCGACTGCCCGACAACTGATACCTCTCTGAGGTGGTGGGGACCACCAACGACTGCCGTCAAGGTACCTGCGACGAAAATCAAAGCAGACTATCACTCACCCACACCAGATGGAAACCTCTACAGACTGTCTGTCGGTTCATACCCCATCACAAGCAACAAGCAAGCAAAACACCCACGAAACAAAGAAAGGTCTGTCACAGCCAAAAAATACACTCTGGACACACGCCGCTGGCACTATATATATATATATATATGATATATCGTCACACCGTGAATATATATTATTTTTAGAAACGTCTGTGCCGAAGGGACTGTCCCTGAAATGCTGCATGCACCACGCTCGTTGTCTACCGAGGCCTGAAGCGAGAACCCAAGTCTACATGCCTCTCTCTCTCTCTCTCTCTCTCTCTCTCTCTCTCTCTCTCTCTCTCTCTCTCTCTCTCTCTCTCTCTCTCTCTCTCTCTCTCTNTCTCTCTCTCTCTCTCTCTCTCTCTCTCTCTCTCTCTCTCTCTCTCTCTCTCTCTGTGTGTGTGTGTGTGTGTGTGTGTGTGTGTGTCTCTGTGTTTGTATCTCCTTCCCCCCCCGCTGCACTCAGCTCTGGACGCAATTGCGGTCAGATTCGCCCAACCTGGCCATAATTGCAGATAGATACATCCAGAAAAATCCCTACAGTAGTGTGAGTACGCCCTGAGAGCGCCTCTTCGAGTGAGAGCGAGGGGCATCTTCTATTTTCGCACACTCCATGCATTTGCGCCTGAGGCGATTCTCTTCCTTTCTTTTTTTTCTTTTTTTTTTGGGGGGGGGTCGGAAAGAAACCGCCTGAGGCCGCCTCGACAGGCGAGACGGAAAATTTCCAAGTTCTGAAATGACCTCCTTAAGTGTTCCCTGTGAGAAATGTACCTATAGATAAAAACCGTCCAGCTACACGGAAATGCAACTCGCCGATCGGCACCATCCAGGTACATTCAGACAGGGGGTAACGAGGACTTCACTAAATTTTTCCAGAGCCCCCGGAACCCATCCCCTCTCTCTCCCATTTCCCCTCTCTCTCCCATTTCCCCTCTCTCTCCCTTCTTTCCTCCTCCATAACTTTCAAATGGATAGCGTTCCTTGCCATCGGAGTGAAGCTATGGTAGATCAGCCACTCACTCTTTTGTGTCCATCACATCCATCTTTGGCCCCCAAATCTCTAATCTTTCCCAAAAAGATTTTTTTTTTTTTTTTTTTTTGGGACCATTTCTCGATTTATGGTAAATTTTGCTAATTTACCCTTCTCTGTATCGTTCCAATTTTAACGGATGTCCCGAAGGGCTTGTTTCTTTTCTTTCTCTTTTCCAAATTCTCATCTTTCCAAATTTCCAAATTCTTATCTTTCCAATTTCTCATCTTTCCAAAACTTTCTCATCTTTCCAAAAATTTCTCATCTTTCCAATTTCTTATCTTTCCAATTTTTCTTATCTTCCCAATTTTTCTGTCTCCCTATCTCAATGCTGCAGAGTGGACTACGTTTGCAACTGTGAAACCTCCCAAAAAAAAAAAAAAAAAAAAAAAAGGCCTTTCGACGAAATAGTATGGCACAGTCAGTCAGTCAGTCAGTCATGGTGTTCTCTTATCTTGTGATTTTTTTTTATTTTATTTTTTTTTCCCGGTGAACATGACAACACAAAAAAACACACGCGCGCGGGGTATGAGCGTGTTTGGGTGCGCAGAGCGCACCTCTCTGCGCGTGTGAGCAGAAAGCGACCTCCTTGCCGCCCTGCATTTGCCGCCCTCCACGATTTCCACTTCCACGTCAAAAAAATATAATATATATACATATCGTCACAAACAGAATATATATATATATATATATATATATATATATATATATCGTCACAAACAGAACTGCCCGGTAAAACCGTAGGCAGAGAGAGAGAAGAGGACAACAAACGAGGGGCTGTTTGTGACGATATATATATATATATATTTTAACAAGCTGTGCACGGAGCGCGGACTGCTTGTCATTTAGGATGAAAGAGGGACCAAAGAGGGAMMAAAAAAAAAAAAAAAAAAAAAAAAAAAAAAAAAAAAAGATGAAAGAGGGACTGACCGATGGATCGACAGATGAAGGGACCGTTGAGCGGAGGGAATCGACGGCTCAACGCTCACATAGATAGATAAATCATAAATTGTCATGTCACTCGCCGATATCACAGATTAGTCATTGTCTATGTATCCAATAAAAGTAGTCGGATTTCCACAACAACAACAAAAATATGCAAGTGGATCCTTATTTATGACACACGGGGATGGGGGCAGCCGGCGCTCTGAAGCCTGTCATCCACGTGGCCGGCCTTGTAGTACGTAAGAGGGTGATGACGAACAGGCGGAGTTTCCTTCCTTACTTCTTTCCTTTTTTGTCTTGTCTTTTTTCGGCTTTGCGCTCCGATACATGGTGTGACGATATATATAGTAGTTGTAGGATATACGGTCACTTCTTCTTTTTTTTCTTTTTTTTTTTTACGGTCACTAATTGCACAGACGAATACTGCAATCAATCTCACATCTTGAGTGTCCGTCTTTTTTTTTTTTTTTTTTTTTTTTTTTTTTGTGTGTCCGTCTTTTATAGATAGACAGTCACGGATCTCGCAAAGATCCTTCCGTTCTGTGAACACGTAATCAAATCCCGTACAGCTCGGTATAGGCACGGATGGATGGATGTAGATGATGGATGTAGATGATGGATGTAGATGATGGATGTGGATGAATGTGAACGGAATTATGGACTACCGTCTTCAACCGAATACACCGCCCGGCCATTATTGCTGTATTTGGGGCAACTTTCAGTCCAGATGCACCGATAATTACCCAGAGCGATCGATGACTCACTGCCAATAATAGACAGAGATAGCACGGTCGCTCGTATATCTGACAGAGCTCGTTCTGGGTTCACACGTGTCCTCCTCAGCAGCAGCAAGAGGGTGACACGTGGCATCCAGACGGTGTGCTGACGAGCTCGTTGGGTGTTGGTCGGGATACCGACTCAGAGGTAACGTGGTGGATCTACGAAATGCAACCAGCTAAGCACGTCAGCTGCCAGCTTGCTAATCGTGCTTGACATCTTGGAATGGAACCTTTTCGGGTGACGTCATTTGAAATTAAAAAGATAATAAGTAATCATAACGTCAGCAGAGAGAGACGGATATTGTGCGGTCATGGTCAGTCGCTCCTCTCCCCCTCACCCCCCCCCTTCCCCCTCCTCCTCCGGATTCACGGTATTTAGTCTCTACAATCAGCCTTAACGTAGTCGATAATGTTGAACCCCTTTCCTTTTTTTTTCCTTTTTTTTTTCCTTTTTTTTTTTCCTTTTTTTGGGGGGAGTTCTAAATAATGCTCTCGCATGTGCTCACTCGTGACTGACTGATTGTTAGATTGATTGATCAGATGATCGGTTGATTGATTGATTGATTGATTGAGCGATTGGTCGCCTGATTGATTTCCTTCGCTGATTGACTGCGCCGCTGATTGCCCAGTTCAATTGGGTTAGTGGATCGACTCCTTCTACCTAACTACTCGTTCCGCAAATCGATCAACGACAATTCACTAGTTCATCAACGGATTCATTGTTTCGATTCACTAGTTCATCAAACTGATTTATTGATCGATTGATTGACTATTTGATTGATTGATTGATTGATTGATATTGATTGATTGATATTGATTGATTGATATTGATTGATTGATATTGATTAATTGATTGACTGGTTGATTGATTGATTGGCTGATTGATTGATTGATTGCCACGATTATTGACCTGTCGACCCGTCAGCACACTACTTGATTTGGTGACGTGGCCTCGCCTGTGGATTGGACGGCATGGGTTAGCACGAGGGGTATTATTCGCCAATTCGTCGATTCGCCTATTGATTGATTGATTGATTGATTGATTGATTGATCGATTGATCGATTGTCTGGTTCTTTGCAATGACGGATTCCATCCGGAGGTAATTTTCCCGCAAATGCAGGCAGCAGACATTTCCTTCCATTTTTATTCTCCGTTTTCCTTCCCTTTCTTTTTCTGGAAAATAGTGAAGCCTCGTTTGCGACATGGATGGATGATCAATAAGGTTCCTTTTCCAATCAACAGCTTCAAGACGGTGATGACACACCGCGCGCGAATGGTGATGGGTTCACGAATCCACTCACTTTGATCTCCACGTGGGCAACGTAAGCGTCTGCCACGTGGCATTCGATCTCCGAGGCCGGGAGAGAGTGAGTCCTGACCGGGATCCCGACGCAGGGAGCCTAACGACGGGCAAGGACGATGACCGGCGGTGGCAGACGAAGCAGCCACGTGGGGGCCGACTGTTCAACGAGATCCCACTCTTCTTTTCTCCCGCCAATTTTACAGCCGCAGCGGATGACGTGGTGGATGATGCCACGTACGACGCCGCGCATATCCCACCAGCCGCCATCGCCTCCATGATTGATCGAACGGCCACGAAAGCCTCTCTCTCTCTCTCTCTCTCTCTCTCTCTCTCTCTCTCTCTCTCTCTCTCTCTCTCTCTCTCTCCGCCAAACTATGCAGACTCGCGCCCAATGCAGCACCTCCTCCCTCCCCTCCTCTCCCGATCTCTCCCTGCTGCAGCTTGACGCACAACCCGCAGAACCGCTGTCCGACGTGTCAGGGTCCGACCGATTCTATCCAATCGGCGTTATCCAGTCGTCACTTTCTTTTTCGTTCGGATAAGGTGCACGTGCATGCTGACCGACCACCTCCCGCTCGCCCTCCACTACCCCCACGCACGGCTGGCCACTTGTTACCCCTTTACGGCGACAATAAGCCGACCTCCCCCCAATGCTTGCTTGCTTGGTCGCAGCTTCGCCGTCAGATCACCTCCTGGTTTCCCATCCAACGACCAGTATCACTGATCGGACCGGTAGTAACCTTTCCCCTTCGACCGGTCTCCCTTGAACTCTTGGGCTTCCTGCTGGAGGTTGCCCAGGCCTCATCCAAAAATCCTCTTTCGGGGTTTAAAAAACAACGTCCAAACCTGAGATGGAAAACAAAAGAGGACTACCGTACCAACGGGCCTACCTTACCGGTAGTAGCTCACTTGTTGCACCCAGGAACTGTTGAAATATGGTCCCAGTTCGAACCCAGTGGGACAAAATGCGAGTTCGAACCCAGTGGGACAACTGAGGATTCATTCATGTATATGTTCCGTTTTTTTTTTTAAATATGGTCCGAGTTCGAACCCAGTGGGACAAAATGAACAAAATCAAATAGTTTACCGGGGGCCGTCTGTCCAAACAACGATATCTGAAGGTCGCCGCCCCTTTGAAAATTGAAAAAGGGGTGGAAAATAGGCCTAGGAAGAGACCCTCTTTGCAAAGGATGATTGGGTAATACAAACTGCTAACCGCCCAGTGCCGATGACAGTATACAAAATCCACCATTTTCTTCATAATGACGTGGCCCTAGATGCATATGGTCCAAGCTTGCTAGGGGCACAGTGGAGCCGATTGACAAGAAATGAACCCCTGGATTGCCACCTCCCAAAGGATGCGGTGATGTGGGTACCCTCCCCTTCGACCCGGAAGAATGGGAATCCCAAAAAGGAATCACACAGCTAAACCAGCAGTACTTCCTAGAGCTGTGCCCGTTAACAAGCCACAATTCTAGGAAACGTTTCTACTCTATTTTTTCTCCGTCACGAATAGTTGGTCCAAGTACTGGTAGTTTAACTACAATGCCCAGTGACACTCAAGATATAAAGGTAGTGGGATGCACTATGGAGTGAACTGACAGACTCTGACTCCCCCTGGGACATCAAACCACCAGTACCTTTCCCAACTATTTTTCAGAGATGCGGCTCATTAGCGGTCACTGATTTTGGGGTCGGGCCACCATTGATAAATTTCATCGGTGGGCGTTTTCATTTCGGGCCTCCGAAAGTCGCGGTGGGGACCCGTGCCCGATGTGGGGGCAAGTTGGTGGCTCAAGCTCATCCTACTAGGGAAAAGGTCGGACATCCCATCACACTGGATGGCCTTTCAGGACAATGTGTTTAACAAAGTCTGGTTATTCTGATGGTCATATGGAGGGCCAGATGCTCATTGGAAAGAGAAGCATTCATTTTCAGATTTACGCAACAAAAACTAAAATCGTAAAAACTATTAGAGTCGATGTGCTAAAACCTAGACCAGGTGCATAGCAATGACCCACACCACAACAAGGAGGCATTGAAAGCCTTTGTCGGCATCTGGTTGGACCCCAACGACAAACTAGCAGAAATCAACGAGGATGGGTGATAACATGGAAAAACTGGTTGGCAAAAGAAGCACAATATCGCCTTACTCCCCTGCCATGTGACAATACGAGAGTGATGGTCACTATGCCAACATGGGAGCAAGATCACCAACATCCATGTGATGTTCCAACCTCACGCTATGTGTTATCTTTCGGTCGGAGTGATAAATTATGCAGAGCAAACCCTGAAACAAAAACAAAATGGGGTGTGCTAAGGATTTTTGGGGAATTGAGTGTGGGGACACAGACGAAACTAAAATCCCCCGTGTGGTTCTAAAGTTACTGAAACAGGGACATAACCACACAGGAAGGAAATAGTGCGCACTGCTTTCAAACGTTCGTTAATCCAAAAAGTATCTTTGAACCTCCATGCACACGACTCGTCGTCTTTTCGAGTTGAAAGGTGGGGTAACCAATATGGGATCTCGTTTTCATATTAAGTTTCGACGATGTTCGTTATAGAGTTCGGAATCCGACGTGGATGGTCTCAGCCTGATCGCTTTTTTCTTGTGTTCATACTCGCCACATATCCGGTAGTGGAACCCCTTTTCCCGATAATGCTCGGTGCGACGACAATCGTTGCACAGAGTGTTAGACCTGTGACGTGCCACCACCGTCCACGGGATAACAATCGTCTCGTTAAAAGACAGTAGCAATGAGTACGAGAGGAAATGGTAATGATAATGATAAAATCAGCGCATACGAATCCCGAACACTCCGTTTCAAGAGGAATATAGTAGCGACCGTCGATCTTGGCGACGACTTCTCATATGTCTCACTCACATGCACGTGTCCTTTCTTCGTTGTATCGGAATAGGCATGGTGGGGATACGGAAGTCAACGCCCAGTCGGATCGGGGCAATCGGTCTATGTGGCATAAGCGAAAATGACCGTGGACGTCAAGTATTCGACCAGAAAAACAAATAGATACCACGATATGCATTATCTTTCACCCATTGTGCAACCTAGTCCAAAGCAGCAATCCAATTAATCGAGAGAACAACCATTCTTCATTTGCACGAATAGTTAAGCATGCATCGAAGTAATCACTTCAAATTGCGGTTTTGTTCCCGTCATCGAGGCAACAATTCAATTCACTACATGTGTGTGAGAGATCACTCATGCATTAACCATCGAATACCGAGGAGCAGAGAGAGGGACGAAATAAGATTGCATGTTCTCGCTGATCTTTTTAGATTCAATGCTACTCATATAGATCTGATTGAATCCAATAGGACGAGCATGATAAGAACTTGGGAGCCGATAGGGGACGAGGGAGTTACCAATCATTCGCGCGCACGCGCGCGCGAGAGAGAGAGAGAGAGGGAAAGGAGAGAAAAAAAAAAAAAAGGAAGATAGTGTCGAAGGAAGTAGACGGAGTCGTAGCTTGACCGAGAAGGGGACTAAAACAATTGAGTTATAGGCATACAAATAGATATAAGAACAACCGACAATCCGCCGTGAACTTATCTTCGAATATAAGAAGAGGAGGAGTTAAAGGTAAAATGCGCACAAGCCTGCTGCTCTCTAACTATGGCCCCAGGCCATATAACCACTCGTTCATATGTACTTTCCTTACCATGTTACTGGAGATCCCGACCACCATATACAAACCTCCACACCACAACAATCGTCATTCTGTCAACTCAACTTTTACACCGGCTTGCTCATATCCCGTAGTCCGTTGCGGTCACCCAGCGCACAGCCTTGCAAAACTGCAGTCAGCTCGTCAGGACTTTCCGAGTCGCTATGTATACACATCATCTAGCCACGGCTTCCCGGAAGCTAGCAGATGGGTTGATAGAGGTTTTTTCGGATGCGCTTGCATATTTTATAGTTGCGAAGAGGGAGATAGAAGATAGAAGGGGATGAGACGGTCCAACCACTTGTTTTCTTTTAGGGTTTCTGAACAGGAGGATGAACGCCCTAAGTTGGGAAGGCTGAGATTTCTGATGTTTCTTTTGGGTTGCTGAAAACAGGACTAGTGATATTCTCAGTTGCGTAGACCCAGTTTTGTGTGTGTTTTCTTCTGAGGGAGACAACGACATTAGACTAGGCGTACCCCTAAGTTGGGGTGGCCTAGCCATAAGACATGAACTTAAAAGGTAATCCAAAGTATAAAAGATGGTATATATATATATATATATATATATATATATATATCGTCAAATAGAACCGCCCGGTAAACCGTAGGCAGAGAGGGAGAAGAGGACAACAAACGAGGGGCTATATATATATGCATCTTACAGACTGACACCTTAAGTTGGGGGATCTCGTCAATAAGTCAGGTATGACAAAAAAAGAAGGGAATCAAGTGAAGAATATAATGTGAAGGTAACCTGGACAGGTTGAACGTACCCCTAAGTTGGGGCGGTCCAGTCCTATGCCCGTGATAACATAAAAAGGCAGACAGTTAGTATAAAACTTCTTTATTTTCCCTTTTAAACATAAGGCATGTTTGAATGTCTTCCTAAGTTGGGTAGGTCTAACTATCTGCCTAAGAAAAAAAAAATTATAAAGTTTGTGCAAAGTATTTATGATTGCGTTAACCGTTGTTACGGAGGTTAAGCGTACCCCTAAGTTGGGGCGACTTATTAGTCATACGTCGATTGTAACTTGTTTAGGTAGATCAAGAGCACCCTTAAGTTAGAGCGGTCTGATCGCATTGCCTTATATATTTTAAA